GGTTGAAATCGAGTCTAAAGTTATGACATTGTAAATAATAAACTCTTTATGTTGTATAGCTCCCTCTCAAGGTCAATTCATTAATTTAGCTATAAAACAATGTTTTTTGACTAAAAATCGACCAATTGGCTAAACCCGTTTGGAAATTATATATTACAACTACATTTTCTGAGATTTTCATGGTCGCAACTACTATTGTATGGCTGTAGGCACTATTTGAAATTTATCGAAATTTACCGGGAGCACCGGAAAATTTTTATATTCAATTTATCTCGAAAGCAGAAGTGTTTGAGGGGCTAAATTTTCTAGTGCTTATAATACATCCATAGGGGCATCCAAATATATCAAAATTGTAAAGAATCACTATCCAGCCAATTTTCAAAATTTCCCAAAACTTTGTATTACCTTTAATGATGGTCTTACTTTAGAGCACATATACAGAATTTAGAAAGAATCCAAAAAAGAGTATGTAAAATCATTTTAGGTGAAAGTTATATAAATTATAAAGCCCCTTTGAAACGATGACAACTTGAACGATTACAAATAAGGCGAGAACAATATGTACTTGCTTTTGCTGTATCTCTAACTAAAAACCCACAATGCAAAGGCTGGATTCCTGAACTAAAACTGGTTGACATGACATTAAGAAATAAACCAAAGTATAGTCAATATATATGCAGGACCTCTCGTTTTAAACAAAGTGCAATACCATATTTTATTGATCTTCTTAATAATCGTTGATTTTTTATTTGTATATTTAAACGGTTGTCTTTTTAATCAGGCCAGTATTTTAACTTTCATGGTTTCATTATACGATTATGTAGACATGTTTTGTGAATAGACATTCTTTTCTATTTATATGTATCCTCGATAGTTGTAAACACATATTTATAATATGTCAGCTTTTTAGCTGCAGCATGTGCATCATTGTATCCTATATATTAAGAAATAAACCTTGAATTGAGTTGAATTAAATTGTATTCAAAAATGATAAAAGGGGAAAATCACGAGTTTAGTGCGAGGACAGAGAGGGAAAAGTGGATAGACTAGGATAGACAAGGAAGGAGTAGGAGGAGAAAATGTGAAAGAACAGGAAGGAGGAGGGGAAGAGAAGGAGAAAAGGAGACAGTGAGTAAGAGGGGAAAAGGAAGAGAATACTATGTATACAGTAATTTGAAGTACTATAAAGCTTTTTACAGACACAAACACAAAAAGAATAAATTTTCGTGCAGCCTTTTTTTCTTCAATTCTCGTGAAGTAAGATTGACAACATGGGATAACATTAATTTTCAGCAGCAGCATCTTGAAGGCTAGCGAAATATTTAGCACACAATCGATGGCCGATATAAAAAAATATCTGAATCAGATTCTTTGGAAATGGTTACCATGGGTACCGAATGCGGTCGTCAAGTTTTAAATTTACTTTTAAATGCATTGGAGAATACAAGAGGACATAATGATTCTAGTTACAAGAGACGATATTTTAAAGGTATAGACCAGTTCTGGTCATGCGATTGCATTGTGAAAGAAACGTTGTGGAATCGATCAGAAAAGGTTGATCATCTAGCATATAAGTATTGGTGTGTACTACAAAGTTCTGGAATCATCAAAATGATAAGAAATTTGGCCAAGTCTTGGTAAAATTACGCGATAAATTATTATATCTATCCGGACTGGATAGATATATTAATTTACCAAATACATCATTAGTGGGCGGTTTCCCAGCAAAATTTGAATCATCACGTATTAGTCAAACATATTCTTTCACATGATTGGTAATAAGGGCTTCCATTTCATTTTTTGAGAGGGGGGCGTTTCCAAAAACTGGTCTTTACCTTTAAAGGTTACCAATCACCATATTTGTAGTTCCATGCCGTGATACTCTATTCCAAATATGAGTTCCAAATATTACTTCTGTAAAGAGATTTTGCAAGCTTAAATACACTATCAACTGCTATTTGGTAATGACCAGAACTGTAAATATTATACTCCAGAAAATGTTGTATCGCAATTTATTGACAATCACAGCAGTAAAACCTCATTCAGTATCTTACACTGTATAATGCGAGAAACCTCATTCAGTATCTTACACTGTATAATGCGAGAAACCTCAATAAAAACTTTGAGTTGATTGAATCTCTCCCTTAAAGGTACAATGTCCCTTTTGCAGCCAACCTCAATTGCTCTAGAACTTTGCAGGAATTATGAATATGTCATGTATGTCCTATCTGTGAAATTTAAACGTTAGCAGTGTCCTCATATTCAAATTATGCAAGGAAACCCATTTACTTGCTAGACTTCACTGTCAGACACTATTGAGTGACTGACTGGCTTTTTTTCTTCTTTGGTAATAACATACATGAAAAGAGTTGTAAAGGGTACATGAGCATTTGTCTACATCAATAACCACTTCTTGTGATGGCCAAGATTAAACTAAATGAATCTTTGCGCAGTATAAAACGTATGACCATTCAGTACAAAATCAAGACTATTACTTTTGGGCTCTATAGCCCTAAAGTCAATTTGACAACTAATAGTCATTATTTTCCCACTTGAAGACATATCCAAGCCCCACCTTTTTTAGGGAAGTTCTAAATTAGTATCATCTTTTAAATGCGGTTGGAATTTATCTTTTTCACTTTTTGGCCTGCAAATGGGACATAGTACCTTTAAAATATAGTTTACACCCTGAAGAATTTTCCCTTCTATGTATATTTCCGAGACATGGCTGAATAAAAATATCCCTCCCTTATTTAATTTAGAGCAGTATACCATGATTCAAGAAGATCATGCATCAGGAAGAGGAGGATTTGGTTGCTTTACATATTTATGACGAGTTCAATTTTAAACCAAGAGTGAATGTTCACATTGAAGGAATCGAATCAACTTTTATCGAAATTGAAAATAATAAGGGCAAAAAGATAGTGATCGGTGCAATTATAGATCTCCCAACAACCACCTTGAATAATTTTATGACAGTTTAGAAACATCCTTGAATATACTATTTCAAGAAAATAAGGAATTATACTTAATAGGTGATTCTAATATAGACATATTGCCTTCCCCACAAGACACCAATGTTTCAACTCTTCTTAATGTATTATCTTCCCATGTATTACATCCACTGATTATTAACCAACTAGAATAAATGCATCTGCCGCTTCTTTATTCGACAATTCTCTTTATCTCTTCAGTACAGCTATCACCTTTTATCGCTCTATTTACCATCTCCTCCTGTCATCTTCTCATACGTCTTTTTCACTCCCATCCCCAACATCATTATTTTTATGAACGAAACGGTAAGTTGTATAAAGGATTATCACGCCTTCAAGCTTAGCTTATGTGGCAATCCTTCTTCGTGATAATCTTATGTTAGTATTACAAGTAGGTTTTTAACACAGAATTTGTTTATCACCATGATTTATGTTGTAATTAGTTTGTAGTTTTGGAAAAAGACCGTGAAGGAAAAATAAATAACGACATAATTATGAATAGACGCACCAGATACGTTATCTTATTAAATAAGGCCCGTACGGAATCCAATTCCAACTTTGGTTCTTTGGGCGCCGTCTTATGTTATTCTTTATTTTCTTTGTATACTCCTTATTCGTTGCCCATTAAAATTTCATGTGAAGTTTTTCAAAGGTTACTTGTATAGATATTATCTGCACAGTAACACAAACTATTTTAGGTGGTTGGTACACTTAGTAGATAAAAATAATGACCCCCCTTAGGGCAAATGGGTACATTCAAGAGAAGCCTGGTTGGACTTCTCAAAGTTGAAACAAAATAATTCATGAGCGTCTTCAATATTTCATAAGTGTGGACGAATATCTCTGTAAAAAGTAATTCTACAACCACGTTTATCAATAAGGTCGTTTCTGAATAGCACTGAATCAATTAACTGTTTTATACCGCGTTTCTTAAGAGCAGGCTAAAAAGCGTGATATAATAATGGACCAGTAATTACATTTCCCTGCAGACAAAAAACTTTCCCTTTCATAAGGAAGGTGAATCCCATTTTATTTATCCTTGTCCATCCCATCCCAGAAGAGAGATAATTACCCTCATACCTCACTATTTCCATGCATTGTTAGAGTGTAGCAATTAAGCTTCTTCAACAGCCGTATTGGCGCAGTTACCATGGTAACGGGATATACGTATAATTTGATCTAGTGAATAATGCAACATGTGTTTCGACCTGATGATGTAATTTTAAAGGGAGTTACATCGATTTACAGATATTTGATTGGATTGCATATATTCCGTTTTAAAACAATAATATAAACAGAAAATGCATCAAAATAAATAAATAACTAACAGCGCACTGCAACAATAAAAACATGTACAGTGTGAGTCATAAAAAAGTTTACACCTAGAAAATTGCTTATTATTTAAAAGATCATCGATGAACATTAATTTGTGTTATGTCTTATGAAAGAGCGTTTTATCCCAAATCATTTGGTATCATTTTTGTGTGGTATGTGTTCACGCTTGGATGAACAGGAGACATTGTTTGCGAGAGTGCAAAAATCGACTTTGACTCACACGGTATTTATAAATCTGAATATCAACAACGTTTCGTTAACTAACAAAATAGAGAATTACACGTAGATAATATTTAGATATATGCCTTAAGACTTGAAAAGATTTTGCCATTTATAGCCAACATAATCAAAGTAGTATTTCATCTGCTTAAAAAAATAAATCTTCTTCAAAAGTCTTTTAAATAACTAAAGCGATCTAGATCACCCGCCCCAAAAGGTCGGTGAATAATGTCAATGAATAATTACAATGATAGATACAAAATGCAAGTGACTGTGTTCCTTTAAAACCTTTCCAATACTATTGTTCAATTAGCATAGACGTCAGAAAAATAAGTCAGTATTGCCTTTATATCAGATACGAATTTTTATGTGGGGACGGCGAAAAAAGAGTAGCAAAGCACAAAGTACAAGTGATATCATCTTACGATTTACGGGCGTGGGAGAAGTTCGCGCTCTTTCTGAACAGTAAATCTCTTGTAAATACAGATTCGATTAATCGTTAGTCGAGAACAGTGGCTTTTTATTCCTCATCTCCCAGCTCTGACACAGCGGTTGTTGGGCTCCAACATATTTGATTGGACCCGCCATCAACAGCCACTTCATGAACGTCTAGAGATGTTAATCATTGCTTACTTTTCTGTAGAGATATGATGATTTTAAACAAACATAGCTTGTTACTTCAAAAGGGCATACCAGGAGAGGCAGGTAAGTCCACTTTAAATAACAGTTTTAATTTCAATCTTAAATTTAGCCTAGATCGAATCGAGGTGGAAGAATTGATGTATAATTTGAGGCAGAGAGCAAGTTCTGAGGATAGACATAATAATGGTTGCTAAGAATATCAAAGAGGTCTAGTTGGAAGCCCTTAAACACAAAAAGTATACCATAGTGCTTACACAAGAGAAACTATTTCGTTCTGTGCATGGCCAAAGTACGGTAACTTAAACGCGCAGTGAGAAGGCGAGCAGACGATCGAGTTGTTAAAACTCACCGAGGCGCCTTTTTGAATCGAGAAGGAGAGAAGGCGAATTCTCTGCAAGTCGCCTTCTCATCTTACACATGGCGGCTTGACGATTTTAACGACTCGTCTACGAGTCGCTTCACGTTAAAGCCCCTTAAAGTGTTGGGAGCCCAAAATTCGCCAAAAATTGATGGCAAATTTTCACTTAAATTGTATCATAATGTGAAAGAGGATGCCATTTAAGACCCACTTCTGCAACGATTTCCCCCAAAAAAATTGTTCGAAGACAAAATAATGTTGATAAAATGTGGGGTTTCTGCTGTACGCAGAAAACCTATATTTTGTATTCTTTCATCAATATTCCACTTCAAACACATTTGTTTTGAAAATCCTTGCAGAATGTGTCTTACATGAAATCCTTTTTCACATTATTATAGTTTAAGTGAAATTTTGACACCAAATTTTGGGGGTTCCCAACACTTTAGAGGGGCTGCTTCGTTCCAAAGTGACTAAAAATACATAACATCATATAATACATGTACGTACATCACATAAAATAGGATAGGGGTGAAAAGGGTCCGTGTTTCTTTTTGGAATATGTCATGGAACAAAGCAATTAAGTCGGGAGTTTCTGTGCCGTCGGATGAGTATGGTATCTATATCTGTTCTCCTTTTGGAGAAAAAAAACACGTAGGCTTATGATTTTTTTTTCTTCATCCAAGTTCCGATATTAATTTAGGGCAACCATCATCTCACATTCGCGCAGCGAGATGCTCGAATATCGTCAATTTCTAAAAGCAAGCTATACGCGCATATATGATATCTAGTGTATTTTTGATGACGAAATTACATAATTATTACCATGATAAGCTTGTTTTTTGCTTGCTCGCAATAAAGAACAGGATGATTCTGGGTTTCTATATTTCATTTAGGTCGTTTGATGAGGAAATAACATTAATAATAATAATAATAATAGTCCGTTCTTGTATAGCGCATAATACTTAGTCTCTATGCGCTTCCAAAGAGCTTTTGGAAAGTATTACCATAACGAAGGTGTAAAATCTTGTATGTAGAGGTGTTGTGCTCTAGTAGAAAACATCGGACTGTGGATCACATTGTTTGCGGTTCGAGTCCCGCCGCGCCCTTATTTATTTATTTATTTATTTATTAGTCTTATTTTAGTAGGGTGGCTTCATCAGTACTTAAATACTGTTTTCCGTGGAGGCTCTATACAAGACATTCATATACATTTGCCACTGTTCACCCACGTGAAGTAAATGGGTACCCGTCAGGAAGAAATTCCTTGAATGGTTTAGTGCCTTATTATGACGGCTCAGCTACAGCCCAGGTAATACTAATTATGATACTTTGTATTTTGCGCAGTAGAGTATATTCCTAATGTAGCTGCGCTATATACAGATTGACCGATTGGCCTCGTAACTCACTCAACTTTCATTGCACATCTGTGCTCTTTCATTCGACATCTCTCGTAACTCCGAAGAACGCAGACGGACCGGAAATATAATAATCCTGGAGGCAAGATAAATTCAAATATTATTTGAATAAAAGTCAGAGCATGTACCGCCAAATGAACCGCCCGTGCTTTCCAGACACGTATAAATATTTCCTAGCATCAAAACACCTGCGAACTCGCACATAAACATTTAGAGGGATTATTACAGCAAAGCCAGGTATGAATTTTACGGAGTAAATCGAAATTAAAAAATATTAATTTCGATTTACGTAAAATTCATACCTGGCTTTGCTGTAATAAACTCAGTCTTAACGTTGACAAAACCATTTGTATGTTATTTGGAACTGGTACAATGCTATCGAAATGTAATATCTTAAATGTAAATATAATTATGTGGTAAACGTATTGTTCAAAGTAATACTGTGAAATATCTTGGAATGCATCTTGATACCAAGTTAAAATGGGATATTCATATTGACGAAATGTGTAGAAAAATAAGTAAAGTTGTAAGTTGTTTAGCTCGTCTTCGACATTTTATTTCGGAATCCTATCTGAAGATGGTATATAATTCAATTATTCTTCCACTTTTCGATTATGCAGATATTGTTTATGATTCGGCGAGCAAGAAACACACTGACCGCCTCCAAAAATTACAAAACAGAGCCGGTCGTATCATTTTGAAAATTAATCCTTATAACCATGTTTCAAATAACGATATTCATGTTAAATTAGGGTGGAAATCTCTCCATTCAAGACGTAAATTGCATTTAAATATAATGGTCTATAAATCCCTGGACAATTTGGCTCCTCCTTATTTAGAAGAGTCTTTCAAATACTGTAACTATCCATATTCTCTACGATCACAAGGAAATATTAAACTCTCCAAACCAAAAAGTGAATGCTGCCGTAAAATGTTTGTGTATAAAGGATCACGTGAGTACAATGCCCTACCGTTAAGTATTAAGCTATCCAACAATTTAAAAACTTTTTGCAAATATCTAAATTTAAGAAATCAGTTTTGCTCTGACCTGTAATGGAACATGGAACATGGGGGGGGGGGGGGTGTTTATGCTTCTCTGATATGTTTTAGGTTTTATATGTATTTAAGTTATATTATTTTATGTTGTATTGTTGTATAATAACTGTTTATATCTTAATTCCTGGACCCCAAGGAAGAACAGCTTTGTTATATTAACAAAGCTGAATGGGCTATCCAGCCATTCACTATATTATTGATTTTTACTATGTTTATGCATTTTCTTTGTATTGTTTTTAATATTGTGATGGAAAATAAATACCAATACCAATACCAGGGATCGGGCCATAGTAGCGATGGACACTAACACTACAGCAAGCTATCCCCACCAAAAGAGCGTTTACTCCATTAATAATTCCGTTATTATAATCTAACAATGGACTCCAGATGTTTTAGAAATACGTAAGCGTCCCTGCTGTTTACATCCATGAAAACCAGCTTGACCCAATAAATGGCTGAGAGTGTTACGTCTAGGTCACATTTGATCTACGGATAGGATACGGCGGCCGTAAGTCCCCGAAATCGAGAGATTCCTGCGGCGACCGCAGGAAATCTGCGGAGGCCTCAGGGTCATACCTAACTTTACAGGCCGTACGGGTCGCCGTGGGATTATAGCGCGGAGTTATAACTTTTTCGTTCTAGGTCCGCCGTAGCAATTAGACAATTGGACACACCGTTAACCATGCCGTAGAGTGGTTCCACGTCGACCATACGTCGGGGCTACGGGCTACGGCCGCCGTACGGCCGCAGTAGGGACGCCCAAGGCGAACGTGCGTCATCACTTCACGGACTACGGGCTTACGTTTTTTTTTAAGTTGTTTAACTTTCTGCGAAACAACATCGTAGAGGCCGCCGAGCCCCGCCGAGCCAGTGAATCCGTACGAAGATCTCACGGCCACCTCCTGCCTCCGTACGGAGGTCGCACGGAAGAGGAGATACGGGCAGAATACGGGCTCCGTAGACTACTCGCAGGCCAAATATAATCCAGGCATAACTGACCATGTGAATGCTGCGGCGGCCCTATATTAATTAATTGCTTTTGGCCGTAGATATTTTAGACCCTGACGGCCGCGGCGGCAAATGTGACCTATATGCATTATGTAACTAATAAGTGAGAATGCATATAGTGCAAGGAGGCGAACAAGCTTTCTAAGACCAAAACAAATCGTATATTTCAATACCGCTACATTATTAGTAGCATCGTCGTTAGTATCGTAATTCTTCTTACAATCATTATCAAAAGCATTATTTTGTAGCAGGAGGGTTGATAGTCGGTAAAGAGGTGTCAGCCCCTTGCAAAAATGTGCAGATACGTAAGCAGAAGGACAAAGTTAAATATCATGGTTAGTTTATGAGTTGGTTGCCACTATCTCACAAACTAAGCACACCTTGTTTATCCGAAAGATTTTTTTATCACAATACACTATATTTCAGAGGTGTTTTTTTTAATTTGTAGCGGGCACCCCTAAATCGGAAGGGGCGTCCACAAAAACGGCCCTTTTTACAACCCCCCCCCCCCCAACCAAAAAAAAATCGGAATACATGATTTTTTTTTCTTTAACTTGATCTTACCAATAACCTAAGTTGGGAAACAACGGCACGGTAAATCGGAGGAACCATTATTTCTATTCCGAATGTTGGTGAAAAATGACGAACTAGTCTGTATCAGTTAAAGGTAAAGACCAGTATTGGAAACGCCCCAATTTCAAAAAATGAAATGGAAGCTCTCATTACCAATCATGTGAAAGAATATGTTTTGACTAATACATGATGATAAAAAATTTGCCGGGAAACCGCCTACTATTTATATATATTTATATATTTGGTAAATTTGTTTCTCTCATGGTCTGTGAGAGATATAGGGTAGTCCCATATACATCTTTCTGTGTACAGTGCTTGTAACTTTACGAAGAATGGGCCAAATTTCTTATCATTTTGATGATTCCAGAATCTTGCAGATGCTAGATGCTAGATGATCAACCTTTTCTGATCGATTCCACAACGTTTCTTTCACAATGCAATCGCATGACCATAACTGGTCTTTACCTTTAAACTCACATCGATATGCCCATTTCGTAAGAAGTATATCACAATCCCAATATCGTCTTCAAACATGTAGATTATGATACTAATCTTTAGACTAAATGTTGTTTTTTGTTTCTATTTTAGTGATCATCCGGAATTTGAAGGAACGACAGCTGACATAATTAATCATTTATTGTATGCCGACGAGAAGGTAAGTTTGATTGCTGATCCATGAAAAAGAGAATAATAATAATAATAATAAATTACATTTATATAGCGCTTAATACAAAGTTTCTAAGCGCTTAACAAAACATTAAATTAAAGTAATGTTAACCTACAAATTACAAGAATATAATACATGATACATAATTATAATAACAAATTCCTAATAACAATCATACAATAATAATAGTTAATATTTACATAACGCTGTATAGTTAAACAAACAAAATATGATTACATTACATTACATATTAAACAGATAAGTCTTAAGTTTACTTTTGAATGTCTCTAAGGTTGGGGACTCGCGTATTTCATGGGGAAGATTGTTCCAAAGTTGGGGGGCACAGACAGAAAAGGCACGATTTCCATAGCGGGTGTGGGTGCGAGGGCCTGGGGCAAGATGAAGATGTGCTGTGGATGATGATCTGAGACGCATAGATGAAGTACGAGCTTTAGGAGTGATGAGTGCCGAAAGATATGAGGGAGCAAGTTTGTGAAAGGCCTTGTATGTCAGCATGAGAATCTTGAATTTGATACGTTGTTGGAGGGGGAGCCAGTGTAGAGAACGAATGATCGGTGTGATTTGTTCATGTTTTCTTGTACGTGTGATGAGGCGTGCTGCTGTGTTCTGAATATGTTGAAGAGGGGCTAAATGAGAGCTAGGGAGATTGATTAATAGTCCATTACAGTAATCAAGGTGGGAAGTTACAAGGGCATTAACAAGACGATGAGTAGAACTTTGATCCAGAAATTTTCGCAGTTTTCCAACTTTGTGGATCCCGAAAGCTGCGATACGACACACGTTGCGTATATGCTGGTTCACATTTAGCACGTTGTCCACCGTGACTCCCAGATCCTTGGCAGATTGGGAAAGAGTGATTGTTGTGCCATCCATGTTAAGATCAGGTAGCACACTGGAATTGCGAAACATGGAAATTAACGAAAAAAAGAATCGACAGTCAATTTTAACGGGTTACACCCACCCCCTCCACCGTGTCCAATGAACACTTATTAACATTTTGGCAAAATGAAGCTCTAATCTGCACTCTTTTTATTAGTGATGTAATTAGTGCGAGGCACAAAAATGCAACTTGATTGGGATTTTTTAAAAGGTTTCCATTTGAAGGTACTCCAGCTAATGAGCATGATATTTAAGAATGAATGGATTTTAATTCGTTCATCTTAAAAGGTTATTTCTTATTTTTAAAGCTAGAACCGCAGTATTGGCGGTAGATAATTATGTTTCTAGTTACCATTATGAAACAAATGAGCATGCCTTGAAGGTTAATCCCGCTCGACCATTTCAAGATTTGTTTTCAGAGAGGTGTAGATTTATTGCTATAAATAGGCTAATATTCTTGTAGATAATTTCATACCTGATGGCTATCAGACTAACAAAATTATGCTTATCAGATTCAGTGACAGTCGGGGTCAATATTTCTTTAATCTCCGGTTATATTTCATATTCTTCTCATGACGTTTTTGTTCTCTGATGACTTATACAAATTTCCGCAGGTTCATTATACCGAAGTTTCTTTTTTCCGAAAGTTATCCTTATTCCGATGGTTCTCTTTTCTTAAGGTGCGTTTTATGAAGTTTTGTAATTCCGAACTTCGTTTTACTGAAGGTTCGAAATTCCGAAGGCTCGCAACTCCGGAGGTGGTCATTTTCCTAGAGGTTCGTAATTCCGAAGGTTCTTTATTCCAAATGATTACACTCCCGACAGTGGAATAGGGTTATTGATTCTGAGAATGGAATAAGGTTCGTAATTCCGAAAATAAAATAGGGTTCGTAAATCCGTATATGAAGTAGGGTTATAGTTCTGAAATAGAATTTGGGTTCATAGGCCTATGTCCAAACATGGGAAAGGGTACGTAATTCCGAAAATTAAAATAGGATTCGTAATTCCGAAAATTAAATAGCGTTAATACTTCCAAAGGTTCATGAGTTTGAAAGTGAAATAGAACCCCGTATCGTTTTCGCATTAACGAAGTGTCGGAATTGTGAACTTTATTTCAGTTTCCGCTTTATGAAACTTCTGTCATTTTCGGAATTATGACGCCCTGGTATGGAAAATGTCTGTTTCGAAATTATGAACCATTGGAAACTAGATGGAATTTTGACTGCGCGCAGTCGAAAATGATGCCTCCGCCATAGAGCAATTTAAACAAGTTTGGAGTTTAAATCTCCAGTGGTTCTTGAGATATCATGATAACAATCTCAATGTATGGAATTTCATAAGTTGACCTCTGTGACCCTTGACCTTTGACCTACGTGCTCCAAAATCTATTCAGATTGTCTTCCTATGGTGATACACACTATCATTAAGTTTGAAGTTTAAATCTCCAGTGGTTCTTGAGATATTATGATATGGTGATACATACTATCATTAAGTTTGAAGTGAAAATTCTCCAGTGGTTCTTGAGATATCGCGATAACGATCTCAATGTATTGTATGGAATTTCATAAGTTGACCTCTGTGACCCTTGACCTTTGACCTACGTGCTCCAAAATCTTATCAGATTGTCTTCCTATGGTGATACACACTATCATTAAGTTTGAAGTTTAAATCTCCAGTGGTTCTTGAGATATTATGATAACAATCTCAATGTATGGAATTTCATAAGTTGACCTCTGTGACCCTTGACCTTTGACCTACGTGCTCCAAAATCTAATCAGATCGTCTTCCTATGGTGATACATACTATCCTTAAGTTTGAAGTTTTTACATCTCCAGTGGTTCTTGAGATATCATGATAACAATCTCAATGTATGGAATTTCATAAGTTGACCTCTATGACCCTTGACCTTTGACCTACGTGCTCCAAAATGTAATCAGATTGTTTTCCTATAGTGATACACACTATCACTAAGTTTGAAGTTTAAATCTCCAGTGGTTCTTGAGATATCATGATAACAATCTCAATGTATGGAATTTCATAAGTTGACCTCTGTGACCCTTGACCTTTGACATACGTGCTCCAAAATCTAATCAGATCGTCTTCCTATGGTGATACATACTATCCTTAAGTTTGAAGTTTAAATCTCAAATGGTTCTTGAGATATCGCGCTAACAAACTCAATACAAGGAATTTCATAAGTTGACCTCTGTGACCTGTGACCTTTGACCTACGTACTCCAAAATCTAATCAGATCGTCTTCCTATGGTGATAAATACTATTTCCGAGTCTTAAGTTTAAATCTTAAATGGTTCTTGAGATATTGTGATAACGGTCAAACGGGACGGACGTACGGACGTACGGACGGACAACCCGAAAACATGATGCCTCCGGCACCACCTTCGGTGGCGGAGGCATAAAAATGACCCCTCCCCCTCCCCAAATCAAGATGTCTATATGAATTTTGTACATACTCACACGTATTATGATCTTACTTCGTGTAGATGTTCAAAGTCAATCAACCATGAATATTGCCAAGGTAACTTTAACACGATCGAGACTACTACATAGTAAGGAAATTTTAATAGCTTTGTGCGTCACCGAGAAACGTTCGAACATTTCATTGACGAGACATGTATTCCGATGATGATTTCTATAGGACATACAATGGGGTGTTGAAATTCCCCCTGAGATGACTTTTAGCAAATATTTGCTATCGTGTTAAAAGACTAAAATGTCAAAAAAGGTTCTCACATTTCTCTCTGAAACGGTTTATCATTTTTATCAAATCCAAACGTTTTGACAAGCCATCGGAGCATTAAGTTTTTGTTTAAATCGATCGTGTTAAAGTTAAACAATATTAAGTTTTTGTTCATTCCGATCCCCCCCCCCCCCAATCTCTCTCTCTCTCTCTTTCTCTCTCTCTCTCTCTCTCTATCGCTTCACTCTCAAAATCTCTAGGTCTTTTACGCGGATCATGTTCGCTTTTTCAATGAATAAATTACGTCACTCAATATCACACGCTTTGTATCCCGACACCGTATACGTTCCCATGGAAACTTATATGTCCCCATGGAAACTTATATGTCAAATAACCACGCCCTCTCACGTTCGTTCAAACTTTCAGCCGAAGGACATTCTCAAAATGAGCTTTCCAAGGAAAAGAGCTGACCGGAATCAAAATTATGCGTGCAAATTAAGCCCATAACAGAGATGAGGACATAAAAGATACCCGGCAGGAAAATGGTTACGGAATGCAATTTACGAACTAATGGTTTTATGAGAGTCGAGAAACTGACAAGAAAAAAAAAAACACCATTAGTGGTAGCGCTAAGTGGGTATGCGAGGGCCATACATGCAATTGCATTGTTCTTTTTAAAATATATGATAAAGTGGATTTTATTTCATTTTATGACTTAAAGGTAGTATGTCCCATTCGCAGGCCAAAACAAAAATGCAAAGGTTAAACTCTACTTGCAATTGAAATATAATACTAATTTAGAACTTCCTTCAAAAGGAAAGGGCTTGAAGAAAAAAAAACTCGGGGAAAAATAACGACCGTTAGTTGTCGAATCGACTTAAGGGATTGCAATCCTTGCAGTAAATAGTCTGATTTTCAGACCCTTGTACCGAATGGTGTATAGTGTATATAGTTTGCGCTGCGCAAAGATGTAATCAGTTTAATTTTGGCCATTACAAGAAGTGGGTTATTGATGTAGACACGTGCTCAAGTACCCTTTACAGCTCATTTTGTGCATGTTATTACAAAAAAAGTGAAGTTAGTCAGTCACCCAATAGTGTCTGACAGTGAGTAAACAGGTTTCCTTGCATAATTTGAATACTAGGACACTGCTAACGTTTAAATTTTACAGATAAGACATACGTGACATAATAATTCCTGCAAAGTTCTACAGAATTTGATGTTGGCTGCAAATGGGACACAGTACCTTTCAAATGACTTTGTGTGTGTGTGCGTAGAACAGTTTGAGTGAAGAGCGATACTGCTAACAGAGCAGAGGGTAGATGCAGACTGAAACCTTTCGTTTTTTATATACATCAGAGTTATTATATCGCAACAAAATACGAGATAAACAGTTTACGATCACGACAATGCAATTACTAAATGTTAGTTTAATAACAACAAAAAAAGTACTTGGCTTCCTAGTGAGTGATAAGAACATAAGGTCTATAGTAACCGACTTATTTAACAGCTATCTACTAAAAACTATAGTTTTTAAGGAAAGCTTTTTACAAGAGGTGGCTCTAAAGCTAGGATAAGTAATACATATGACTGGAAAACTGCCGGTTCTAGTCCACACATAAATATTTCTTCGGAAATATATTGATATAGTGGCGTAGGTTCCTTTGCATTTATTACAAAATATTCCTTCTTAGACTTGTCCCTTTACATTTAATGATCTCGTAGAATGTTAAATTTTACCTTTTAGGAATGTTTGCGGTGCATTAATGGTGATTCAATCTGAATTACAAATACCACTTTGCTGTCACATAACAAACCATTATCCAAGAGCAATTTAGAATTGAAAAATCCACTCCGACCCCGCCAATATGTCAATAACGCACAAGAAATGAAAGACGCACAGAATGTAATTAAAAAAATCTCTTATTATGTACTTTTATTTGATAGAACTCAATAGCAAAAATCGAATTATAAATCAAATGAAATCGATGTACCTGATATTTATATAGGCACACATATAACACAAAGATTAATACACGTTTCCCCTTCCCCGTTCCCCTATTTTTTTTGGGTAGCATTATACAGCATATATGTTTTTAAAATACATTGCGTTACTTCGTGTTTGGGCGTGTTCGTTCGCATGGGTGCGCGTGTTGGTGTGTGCGTGTGGATGTCCGTGTGCGTGTGCGAGAGAGTCAGTTCTTTACCGTGCAGGGAACTTCAAATTGCAATTCTTTGGCTTCCATGTTGGCCTCTGCATTTCTAAATACCTTTTCTTGTTTCCTTGTCCTGTTCTGTTATGATAGGAAAAATAGAAAATTGTGCAATTTCTTGTACATTATGGAAATTTATTTCATGATTGTTAGTACTCCATGAACCAGGTCATGTTTTACATCCGAGTCTATTTATTGCAATTTTTTTGTTTGTGTGTGATTATAAACCATGCCCTGCACTGATGTCATTAATTTTTATTGTTTTATTCTATGTTTGGAAATGAAAATAAATGAAATAAAAAATTAAAAGAAAAAAAATATCCTTGGAATCTTAATTGATGAATACGTTGATTGGATCAAACAAAACAAATAAGCTTATACCAGACGTGGAAAAATTTTGTTCTTACTTTTCAAAAATATGTCAATTTTTTATAAAAACAAACAGCGTTATTTTTACATTTGTTTCATATTTTGTTTGGGATAATAAAGTAAGATAATATAGTTTAAACAAAATAAAATAAATAGTTAAACAAAAAAAGCTAAATGCTACCATGTTTTTGTCATAGCAACTACAATGTTCTTGCACAAATACAACTTCGAATGACCAGGATTTCGATGGCAATCAAACTTTTCGCATCAAATAGATAGGTATACTTAGACAATTCTATATGTTTTTTTTAAACATTTTTCTCATAACAAATATGTTATTTTCAGAAATTACAGGCGTTACCATGGCAACTACCTTATTCTAACATAACCATGACGTGGGAAGACTGAGATTTTGTATAAAAATCAAATGGGTAGTTGGAAACAGTTTTTTTTCTTTTTAGTCACTTACATTATATTCTTTGGATATCTGATAAGAAATATATGTCATTTTTAAGCAAAATAATCGTTACCGTGGCAACGGCAAAGGCGTCATTAAAGAAAAATGGCAACAGGTAGATTCGTGTTAAGCACCTCCTAAATAGCTTAAATATCAGCTATGACACGAAACCATCTTGAAGTGAATTCTTTTTACAGCAAATAACAAGGATCTGGAAGTTCGTTGTATAGAACAAAATCAGGTTTTCATTCTTTCATTAAAGTTAACGATCTTTCCGATCTTCTTGAGTCTGTTTGTGCACCTATCGCACAAAGCCTGACGGTTTCGTTTGATAGATGTATAGATACAGCCTCGACTTTAGTGTGGATAGATCGTGAATGAACTCATTCACAAGCATCATTTGTATACTGTCTGTTTTCATCGATTTATCATAAAAAACACGAGGCGAAGCATTCTGACATTTCTCTGACTTTCTTCTTTCTTTCTTTCAGATAAACATCATGGACAGAGCAAGTTTTAATGGTGGAGCTAATGTCCATATCTATTCAGCGATTATTAATAGATGGGTGCCACTGTCGACATAATTCATCCACAAATAGAGGCGCATTCATAAACTACTTTCACCCTAGGGAGGTGGCCACAATGGAATAAAAACTGCATGACCACACTTTCAAAGCTCTTCTTAAAAGGGGAAATGTCAACATGTTCTCACGCAACACCTTGGTGCTATGGTTTATTGACTCAAAACCCTCGTGTGAGGCTAGTGCAAAATATACGAACTCAATAGTCTGGTACTGGATGACCTGACTAAACGCTCAGGTGCTGGTGTAAATACTCTGGTGTTAGATTTACGGACTCAACAGTCTAGTGATATGATATATTGACTCTACACTCCGATGCCATGTGTACTTCACCTCAGAATATGTTGCTAGGTGTATTGATTCAACACTCGGGTGAATCTATCTCGAAATCAAACTTAAAACCATGGTGCAAGATTTTTAGACTCAACGCTAAGGTGCTATGTGTACGAACTCAACCCTCCGGTTCTAGCCTCACTGAATCAATACTTTAGGGGTACACTGTACATTGACTCAACACCATGTTCCTAGTTGCATTGGTTCAACAGTCTGGTGTTATGATGTACTGAACGAACACTCTAGTGATTCGTTTGCGGAATTATATTAAAAAAAAACTCTTTAGCGCTAATGTACTTACTCAAAACCCTAGCACTAGGTAAGAATACTCTATACTTTGCTGCTAGATTTACCTACTCAAAATTTACTCCGGTGCTAGATTTACTAGTTCAAAACTCTAATGTGAGGCTTACTAGCACAACACAACAATTACGGATTCGAAATTGTCCATTTTAGACACTTCCTTCTCTAAAGAATAAGAGAACTTTGAAAAAATATGTTTGATTTTTGTAAATATTATTTTGTCTCTAAACTCATTATGCCTACAACGCAAATCATAAACCACTCCTAGATATTAAATTGTTGAGTGTAGGGAGTGGTTTAATTGTATATTCGTTCAATTGCAACATTCTATTTCAGTCAGTGATTGGATTCTGGAGACAAGTGTTCGATTTGATTATATCAAACTACGGGAAGTGGTTGTCATCGAAATACCTGAATCGAAAGTGCAGTACTAACACACCCACACATTGTTTAGTAGATTGAGTTTCGTTTTCAAGTGCTGATGAAAAGGCAGGAATCTATCCGATTCAAGAGAGTTCATGGTACTTCAAGCTTGTTCAAAAGTGCATCAAAGACACTTTGCGTGACAAACTAAGACTCATCATCGTCTATTAAATGAGCTTTCAATTTCCTGCTTATAGTTTGTGAAATGACAAGTATGTAACATCCGGCGTTCGTGATTAGTAATAGTCAACGAACACAATATTGTGGGAAAATGCAATTATAGCTCGTGTTTTATGCTACGGATAATACAGTTGCCGTGTATTTATTTTGTATTTAGACAATATAATAGAGCTGCCAGATCTTAACCATGACTGGAACAACAGAGAGCATGATTTTGGAAATGAACAGCGGGAATGAGACGGCCATAGAGGAATCTTTTCGCCAGCCAACTTTTGCTGCCGTTATCTTCATCACCATCGGTGTCGTCGGGACGATCGGCAATGCTCTGGTTTGCATCGTGATCGCGAGTACGCTGGCGTGGTCGAAAAGCGGTACGACCAATCTTCTTATCCTGAACCAAGCTTTCATCGACTCCATGACGTCGTTCATTTTGATTTTATCTTACGCCTTGCCCGGCCCTGCAATCCCCAAGGCAGGGGGATGGTCGGAGTTCGTCTGTCGCATGTGGGTGCCACACACCCTCCTCTGGATGCTCTTCGTCGTGTCAACCTACAACCTCTGTATGATGTCTCTGGAACGGTACTTCGCCGTTGCCTATCCAGTGATCTACTCCACCCGCTTCAAGAAGCAAACGTCCCTCTTGATGATCCTCTTCTGCTGGACAATAGCCCCTCTCCTGCACTATTACTACCCTATCGCCTACGACTACAATGCCGGTGGGGTTTGCAAGAAGCGAGGTGACCCACGTGTGGTCGCGACCATTGGAGTCTTGATTTTCTGCTGGGAGTTTTTCATCCCGTTCATCATCATGGCAGTGGTGTACACTCGCATCGTCTTTCTGCTTCGAAGGCAACACCGTCGGGTGCAGGCATCAAACGCAAATCCTGGTCCATCAGAGCTGCGCAGCGGGCAACACGGGATTCAAGCCCCATCACAGCTTAATATCCAAGTCCCGCGGGAGCAGAACGTCAGCTCTAGACCGGAAGGTGCGTCAGGCCATCACCAGGGGAATTCGCCACAGCAGAGACGTCGCGCACCGTCGGAAACGGTTCGTCGTAACGTCACAGTCACACTCCTGGCCGTCTTTATCATGTATGTTGTCTGCTGGATGCCGAACCATCTCACCTTCCTACAGTTCGGCTTAGGAGGCCCTCTCAACCTCTCTGGAGCATGGTATTACATCACTCTCATCCTGGCCTACCTTAACATGAGTATCAACCCTTTCATCTACGCCCTCAAGTATAAGCTCTTCAGGGAGGGGTTCAAGAGACTGTTCTGCAACAGGTGCTACAGCACCCAACCTGAAAGAAGAAATTTTACAGAGCATTCTAGCGTTCCACCGCGACCTATTCCTACCGTGTCAGGTTCTAACAGAGGCCTTATTAATGCTGAATAAACAATACTAGAATTATACGAATGATTATTTCATTTACTACACGTCGTGTTTCATTATTGTGAAAAATATGAGTGTAGGGATTATTTGCCTACACAGCGCCCTCGATCGTCTGTGATCTCGCCTCACCCCGGAATTTTTTTTTCGTCTTCATTATATCAGTAGATACGCATGCAGAGAACAGCAGTTGACTTAAAAGTTGACAAAGCGTTTTGTTTTAGCGAATTCATTTACAGGCTTCGTAAAGTCCTTATAAAATTATCATGACAAAAATGTAAAAAAAAGTAATATGAATAAGTGTGTTTTACATGATGAAACGGCACCAATTTTTTTTAAAAATTAAATGTTTTGATTTTTGTTTTTGTTTTTTGTTTTGTGAATTCACTCAATTTCGGAGAGAATTTCGGCACATGTGTTCTTTGGAATTCAAGGAATAAGAGTGAAAATCATCGATGAATTTGAAGTCAGGAGCCAGGTGCACAGACATAGTGCTCTCTATCATAAAACTTTTTTTTGGAAATCCTTTTTTTTCTTCAAAATCCTTATTATTGTACAGTCTGTAAAACGGCTGTTTGTGTGATGCACTCGTACATTTCTATATTATTATGATTCGTTAATTCCACCGTAATGGACAAATGTCTGTACTCCTAATATTGTCAAGGTTGTAGCAAAGTTTTTCTGGTAGTGTTAGGATTAGGGTTGCACTTAGATTTTAGACAACAACGGACAGATCATATGAAAGATTATTGAAGATGATAGTTGAAAATTATTATATCATAAGTCGTATAGGTTCACGCTCTTCATGGCAGGCGACATAATTATTGCACTAATCACCATTGTTTGAAGTCCTGATTCCTTTATTGTACATATTATGTATAATGTTACCGTACAGTGTTATAGAAAGGTAAACAAAACAATTGTGGCGACCATTCACAAACCTTATGGCCCGAATTCACAAAGGAGGTTTGTCGACAAACCTAGGTTTATGTGCGTCATATGACGCGTTTCGATGCTTTCAGAATAAGGTTCAGAAAAACCTTGGTTTGAAACACGTCAAAACGCGTCATGTGACGCACATAAACCTAGGTTTGTCTATAAATCTCCTTTGTGAATTCGGGCATGTAAGTTGTAATTGCATTTGACTCTATCGCACATAAGATGTTCGACAGTAGATGGTGACCTTCCTCCCATACTGTTCAGGTCAGCACTAGCCTTTAAACAAGGCCACATGTCTGATAGACGCCGAGCGACTAAAAAGAGACTAATCGCGAAAACCTGAGTGAACGCCAGTGCGAATTGCCCAGACAAGTAGCCTTTATCAATCTGGTTTGGATTTCTTATGTTAACCTTTGTTTCCGACTGGAATTCGCTTCCGAAAAGGGAGCATTCAATCAGCGAACGTATCCTCGCACGACGTCAGCATATAGTATCCATCACACGCACACACACACACACACACACAGTAAACTGTGCGAACATGGACCTACATGCCTACTATTAACTATTACGTACGTGCTAAGACCACTGAATTCTACATGGAACGAATCACGAACGAAGCCAACTGGGAGATCGCCGTTCGGATTGGTCAATAAATCCAAAGTTGGCGTATTGGCATGCTAATATGTATCTATGAATAATTCATTCGGAGCAGTGATATCTACATTGCAAAAGGCCTCGTGACGGTCGTCACTCGGTCGCGCGTTCACCCCGGGTATCTAGACTCATCTCAGCCGCTTAACCAGAGTCCCGAGGCCTTGTCAAAAGGCTAGGTCAGCACATGCGTAGATACGATACTAATAAGACAAGGTTTCTTCGGACTTCCATTAAATGTACAACAGTGTCAACTAATTCCTTATTTTACTTAAAGGGAGTGTAGCCTGACGAGACTATGCGTGTCAATCCCGTGGCCTGACTCGGGGCTAATCGGGTAGAATGCGACTACGGACGACGTGACCGTAGCAATCGCGTGCGTGCAACATACGCAAAACCAAAGCGTGAGGATCGAACTTCGGCCTGTTTCGCGAGCGCTCACCACGTAGAGATTAAGTCGCTGACTACCGTTAATCAAGTTTATTCGTTTACGTGCAGTTGTCCCAAAGAAGTCGTAGATGGCGCTAACCAGCATTTGCCAAGCTACACTCCCTTTAACTGTTTAGGTTTTATGAACTCCTCCGACGATTTGATAAGATATATGTAGGCACCACCATAATATGCTTCTTATAGTTTATTAGTTCCGAAAGTTTAATGTATACATTTCCATTCCTCGACCCATCCACACGTATTTGTCAAGGAACCGGAAGTGCCTTAGCCAAATATATTCATGACCGGTGCTGCCCTTTATGCACCGTATGTAGTGCTAATAGACGGTGTTTTGTTAAGGTTTAGGCTTATGGAATGATGGAAAATGTCTTCACAGTATTTTCAGGTGCTTAGGGCGTTTTGGGGGTCTACAATTTGAAACTGGGGTCTATTTTACTGTATCTAAAAAGGGGGTCATGGACAGATCATAAATGACTAAGTTGCAGGCAAAAGCCCTTGTGATTCTTAAAGCATAATAGAATGTATGAACTATAAAATTGAGAGAAACTGTGTAGACTGCACCCCCATAGACCTTGTATATCGATGTGACACATCCAGATACTGACAGGGCTAGGCTCGGTCCAAGACTGTATGGCTTTTCGTTCAAGTGCCAAGTTAGAGTCTGTGCCTGCTGATTACCAATTCAAATTCTGATCTTTTTTGCCATTTCATTCCAAAATGTTGAATTAAGTATTTATTCAATATTTTGTAAAATATTTTTATCTGCACATAGTCTTTCACTTCTTCGAATTCTATATGTTAAACATAAAAGTATTTGACACAATTCACTATGACTATCTTGATTTCAATGCTTGGTTATTTACTTGTGATCCTGTTTGTTGCTGCTAGCTTGTGACTAGCTGGATCGGATGGAGAAAGAAGAGGCCGTTTCGACTAAAACTTACCAGAAAGATAGATTTAAAAAAAATAAAGAGAGATAGAATGAGAAAGAGATTAAAGGATGAGTGAGAGAGAGACAGAGAGAGAGAGAGAGACAGAGAGAGAGGTCAGAGAGAGAGAGAGAGAGAGAACTACCAAGACAAGAGAACTAAAAAAAGATAAGTTTCATTCCCTTCATGTCCATAGCAACAAACCTCCTGCAGTCATCTTTTCTACGAAGTGAAGAAGAGAGAGAGAGAGAGAGAGAGAGGGAGAGAAAAAGGAAAATTTTGATAAAATTGTCCTGTTAATTATGTCATGATCTCTCGTTTAAAATATTATAATTTTACAAATTACATTTCTGCTAATCATACTCAATGGTGTTGTAATATTTTGATTTGGCCTATCATACTCATCTTTATGTAGGCCTATATTACATTTACGGGAGAATAAGTATTATAAAAATACAGGTTTATATTTAACTCTCAACATCAATGATGATGATGATAATTATGATGGGGTCAAAGATAATGCTGGACTGGTGATGACGATCATGATGATCGCGATCATTATGATAATAGTGACGATGATGAAGACATTATGTGATGATGATGATAGTGATGACGATGATAATGATCATCATCATAATAATAATGGTGATGATGGTGATGATGTTGACTATGGTGATGATGGTGATAATGATGGTGTTAAAAAGTGCATTTATTTGCTGGATAATGACAACAGAATGGGCTGTTCATTTTGTTTTACGTATAGCCTCTAACAGCAGGTGTAAATATTAAATATTGGATGCCAAGCGTCACCAATAAATAAATTAACAACAATAACAATAATAACAACAACAACTATCGCTCTCTCTCTTTTAGCATATGTGCCGACCAATATACAATAGGGACTTTAAAATTGAGTGGACGAGAATAGCGTAAACGTAAACTGATAGTGTGTGTCTAAGGCAAGCTGTTTTAACATTTATTCCCATTCTTGATATCAAGAATTACCATTGCTTTACAAAATAAAAATCATTTCTTGATATCAAGATTCAAGAAATCGGAATAATTGTTAAAACGGCTTGCCATAGACACGCATGATCAGTGATCTACAATCCACTCAATCTAAAAGTCCCTAATTCAGTGGCGGATCCAGGGGTGGGCCGAAACGGCCGCGGCCCCCCCTATTGGCGAAGAAAAAAAATTGAGAAGGAAAAAAGAGGAAGAAAAAAAGAAGAAAAAAAGGGGGGGGGGGAAGGAGAAGATAAAAGAAAAGAGAACAAAAAAGTAAAGAAAAGAGAGAGAGTTCAAAAAAGAGGAAAGAAAAAGAAGAGAGGAGTAGGGGAGAAAGAAAGACAACGAAATGGCACTAAAAATTAGTGACAGTAACGACGAATAAGGGAAAGACAAGGGGGAAAGGGGGATGCGTGAAGGCGGATGCATTGAGGGGAGGGGGGGGGGGGGGGGGAGGGGTGACTGGCCGTATTCTTATTTTTAGGTTATGCGAAACTGAGTCGAAATTATGCTTCTTTTCAAAACAATCTTAGCATGCTTGTTTATGTTAAGCTGGAGTGCATGAAAAGGTTAGTGTAGAAACACTTCTGAAAAGGCCGCGCCCGGCCCCTCCAAAGAACGGCAGAATGGTAATCTATAAATTATGGGGTCATTCTTGATGGCTTGGGAGTCGTTATTAAGGAGGGGGCCGGCCCTACTCAAATGGTAGTGACGGTAACGATGGATAAGGGAATAAGGAGGAAGGGATGCACATGCAGGCGCGTACGCAGGGGGGAGGGGGGGGGGTCGAACCCCCCTCAAATTTTTGTCAAGTTGTCAAGTTGGTCCTAATGTGTATAATGCGTAGACCAGGGGTTCTCAAACTTTTTCTTTGACGGTCCAGAAGCGATTTCTATGAAAGCTGTAAGGTCCGAAATGACACTTGTATACTGATGATAATGAGGCTTGTTTTTGGTCTATATCTGATCCAAGGAGAATTGTTAGTTTAAATAAAACAGAACCGCCAGTGCTTCCACTCGTTTAAATAGAGTTTCCTGAAAAAGAACACCCAATATCCTGGAATTTGAAAGAATTTTCTTAAAACTTTCAAAATGCCTCCTACGTGGATTTCTTATTTGGATGAATCGCTATGACGTTTTAATATATATCAATTATTGAGTGGGCTTATTTTTCTTTCTAATAGATCCCTACAACATGGCAGAGCTTGAGGGGTCTGGCAGAGCCTTTTCAAGAGAGAAATTGTCTTTTAGGAGAAAAAAGGAGGTTATTTCTAAAATGAAATGAAAGGGTTATTGACTTTCAAGAGAGAAAATTGTCTATAAGAGAGGAAGAGAGGTTATTTCTAAAATGAAATGAAAGGGCTCTTGTCAAATAGCCCTTTCATTTCATTTTTTCTCTCGAAATAAACTCTCTTTCTCTCTTATAGACAATTTTATGAGATGGAATCTTCAATCTGAAGCCTTTTTGTGCTCTTTGAAAATGGCACACTGAATGGGAGCAGTGCAATTTAAATTTCAAGGGATGGATTAGAGTTTTTATCGCTCTTGAAAGTCAAATAGCCCTTTCATTTCATTTTAGAAATAAACTCTAATACACTCCTTGATATTTAAATTGCGCCGCCCCTATTGTGTCCTCTTTTTAAAGAGCACAACAGAGCCCTCAGATTAGGCAGCAAGTAGCAAAACAAACCCGTAACACTGGACACAACATTCAATGGGATGATGCCCATATCATTGAGTTTGAAACGCACTTCTGGTCAAGAATGGTAGAAGAAGCATCTGCATAAAAAGGATGAATCCTTCACTGAATAGGGATTCTTGCTATCACTTTTACCTTTGTGTAAATAATAAAAGGTCCACGGGCGTGGTTGTTAGAAGCTTAAACTACAACTCTCTCCAATTTTGCAGGGGGAGAGCCTTTGTCGGGAGTCTTTAATAATAAAAGGGATACATCCTTCACTGAATAGGGATTCTTGCTATACGTTACCTTTCTTCGCTCCAGTGATCTCGAGGCAGCAGACAGCAAGAAATTGTGTAAATAATTTGCTGTTGCCGGGAGTCATGCATGGGGCGGAGCCCCAAGAAGTTCTTGAACTTTAAACAAAATTAGGAAATTCCAAATAGTCGTCATGAGCGATAGAAATTGTAATTTCCTCCTTGAGAGTCACATAACCCCTTTCATTTCATTTTAGAAATTAACCTCTCTTTCTCTCTTAAAGAAAATTTCATATAACTTCTGTTTTCGTATTGTACTTTCGTCCGCAGACTACTTCAGCACATGTCGAGCCAACTCAGTCGGAAATGTAATATGTAGGCCTAAGTGTAAAGTTAAGTTTCATGTTCTTCTTTTTTTCTTTCTTTCTTTCTTTCTCTCCCTCTCTCTGTCTCTCTCCTTTTCCTCTATCTTTAAAAAAAAAAAAAATCTTTCTTTTCTTCTCATTTTTCTGTGTGTGACATGCGTTACGCGTACGTCTATCAATGTCTTAATATGGTAGATTTACATTTTGATGTTTCCCTTTGTCGGTGCACCTTATACTCCAGAAAGTGCCCTATTTTGATGGTGCCCCCCCCCCCTCATGTATTGATCTCGATAAAAAATAACTTTCTCATTAATTCTATTTCCAATATATCTAATACTTGCACTAATCTCCAATTAAAAAAAAAATCGTCTACTTTCTCTCAAGACAACATTATATAAAGGATTCATTAATGCAAGGCTATCACGCGAGTAATCTCTCAATTTCTAACTTCCTGCTTTCCTCATCTCCCAGTCTCCCTTGCTTCAATATTCCTCGTCACTTCCTTCCAATTGAACTCCAACTTAATTGATGTTATACACTGTATCTATTCTTCAACTACAAGTAGATGCAAATGTTACTCAAAATCCATTATATAAATCACACTCAAGATACAGCCAATTGACGAGAATTGCTTCAATCTATATTTTACATGTATCATTATGGTTTTACAATGGCTATGGTGATGAGTTGTCTAGGTAACATGTTGATGTGTTTGTTAAAATGTATTACCGTGGTGCACCTTCTTGGTTGGGTATGTATTAACGTAAGTTCGTGCCTTTACATATCACAGTAGAAATCAATGTTTTATATTTGATGCAGAATAATATTAATATTTGGAGATTAGAAACACAAACAGTTTCCATAACCGTTCAAGTGTTTCAAAAAAAGTTAAGCAAACTTTCTCCTGGATGTAAATTGGAATTTTAAGCGGTTTCATTGGAATTAATCGAGAAATTCCCCTCGCTAGCGTGTAAATAAAAAATACGCCGGCCGGCCATACGTAAATGGCAGTGACGGTAACGACGAATTAGGAGGAAGGGGTGCATACGTGAACTACAAGCGTATTGGGGATGACCATACTATCACTTTAGAGTGCGCAATCTGGGTCGGAATCCAGCATAATATATTTATAAAAAAGAGGTTCACATAAAAGCACTCATGATAAAGCCGCGCCCGGCCCCTACAACATCATTTTGGATTTTCAGATGATGGGGCGGGTGGCAGGGGTAGGGGGCAAAGTTCGCCCCACTCTTCAATTCCCCCCCCCCAACGGGCCACTTTTACTTTGTAAAGAAGTGCCCCTTCCCCTTTTTAAATCGGATAAGCGCACATTTCATCAACACATGTGCCCCCTTTCCTATCTGATAAGGGCTATTTAGAAAAATGAGGCCCTTCATAAATAAAAAGTGTCCCTTTTCATCTCTGGTAAATGACCATTTTCATATATGAAAAGTTAATTCTTTTCACTTCAGTGCGCTCTTCACCTCCGATAATTGCCCCTATTCAAATCTGAGAGATGCTCGTTTTACTTTGAAAAGTACCCCTTCCCCTCCTGATAAGTACTCTTTTCATCTATGATGGGCGCCCATTTTCACCTTTGCTAACTGCCCTTTAATTTTGAATCGTGCCCCTTTTCCTTTCTATTAAGGGACCTATTCCCTTTTCATAAATGCCCCTTTTCACCTCTGATAAATCAATTTCTGATGGATGCCCCTTTTCATACCCCATACTCATAAGTGCCCTATCTTATTTCTGGT